CTGCTTCGTACTTCAGAAGTACGGAGAAGTACAAAAAAGTACGAAGAAGTACGAAGAAGTATCAAGAAGTACGGAGAAGTACCAGAAGTACAGAAGTATGCTTTTTCCCCCTTGGGAAAACGCCTGATTCAAATCAGTCTAAAATCACTCAAAATCAATTGATTCTTTGTGATTTCCAATGACTTCCAGTCATTTCCAGTAACTTTTCACTTGGTGAAAATCGTTGAAAATTAGTGAAAATCAACAAAAATCGAAAAAATTCCCAAATCAGCTGTTTCCCCCTTGGAAATAGTACACCATGAAAAGTTGATATAAATGTCCACTCTTCTGTTTCCTTCATGTTCATCAATGAGGCCTTCGTTCTCCAAAACGGCTAAACAAAAACTCTTAACAAGTTGTCAGAATTATTCCACATGCTCTTACATAGTATAGTTCCATATCACGATTAGATCATATTTCTTCTTGATATCTAGAAAAATCTATATGTTTTAGGCTTATGGAATAATGCAAATGCATAATAAAGGAAATTTACGTGGTTGGCAATGGATATTTATTCTTGAAGGCATACCAACTGTTATTCTTGCTATTATATCTTATTTTTATCTTCCAAATTTTCCTTCTACAGTCACATGTACGTAAACTATTAGATAATAATATTTCTGCGTCTTACTATTATCTATTAAATTTTGTGTAGGGCTTAATGAGAATGAACGACAATTACTTATTCAACGTGTAAAAGATGATGCTGGTCCAGCTACTGAAACAAATTTTTCGTGGAAACAAGTTAAAAGTGCATTTACTGATTATCTAGTTTATCTTTATGCACTCATGTTCATTGGTATTTGTGTTCCTATTTATTGTATAGCTTTATTTTTACCAACTATTATTAACGGAATGGGATATACAAAGTTAACGGCACAAGGTTTATCAGCATGTCCTTATTTAATGGCAAGTCTATTTGTTATCTTAATGGGTTTACATTCAACAAAAACGATGGAACGTGGATTACATACGAGTTTCGGTGCACTCATTTCAATAACTGGTTTTACTCTTTTATTAACATTAGTAAAATATGGATCATTAGCATGTTATTTTGCATCATACATTACGTGTATTGGAGTATTTTCATCTATGCCACCACTGCTATCTTGGTTTACAAATAATATTGGAGGACATACTAAACGTGGAGTGGCTATTGCAGTTATTATTTCATTTGGAAACTTAGGTGGTGCTATATCTGGACAAGTAAATGACAACAATTTTAATTTATATTAAGGAGAAAAAAATGATAAGTATTTTATTTATTTCTAGATTTATCGAGCTAATGATAGACCATATTATTATCGTGGTCATTTGATTTCATTAGGGTTTAGTTGTTTATTATTTGTATTAGCCTTATTAACAAAATGGTTGCTAATTAGAGAAAATAGCAGACGAGAAAATTTGACTCAAGAACAATATGAAATAAAATGTTCTCAATCAGAATTAGCCGATTGGGTAAAATAAATTCATTCAGTTATTTAAATTAATTTTTTCAATTATTTCTTTCTTTTTTTAGCACCCGGATTTCAGATATGTACATTAATTAATGGACTAACTTGTTTTTAAAAAGTTTTGTATCCTATCCAATAATAGTAATAATAATAATAGAACAACTATTTGTATTACCTAAACCCTTCAAGAAAAAAATGACTATGTTTCTAACATTATAATATAACCATACAAAAAGGCTTGATAAGAATAATGTAAAAGCAGACATACTTAACTTTCTATTGCATGAAAAATTGATTTTGCAAAAAGTTTCAAAATTAATACCATTCTTAGTATTACAGCATTCTTTTTCTGGGCATAACTGTGAAATCGAGAGTAGTTGCCGGTAGAACCCGTCGTTAAATTGACGATTATCAACTTCATGACAAAAATGCGCGGGGCGAAGTTTTTTTTTGACGTTTCTTATCAAAACTTTTCTAAAATATAGCTCACTGTGTAGGATTTTTTAATGTTATTGGTGATTATACTGCAATGTCAAATACTTCACATTTATGTCGGACAGAATAAAAACTGAAAAATAACGGTCTATTTATTTGTATCCTACACATTGAACGATTCATTTTTGTTTCATTGTCGTTCTACTCAATATTAAGTTGATGACTGTGTTAGGATGAGGAATGAGCGATAACAATAAAAACGTCTTGCTATTACCTAGTTAAAAACTGGTGTTAGGGCTTCTACGAAAATTGTTAGAAGTCGTCTATAAAGAATTACTCAGAGTCGCGGAACCTCTCATTTTGTAGAAAAATATTTGGACTACAATCCTTTATAAGTAAAACAATGTCAACATTATCTGTAATATAGATATGAGCAATCCAGAATGCACTAAATTCAGAAAAAAATACTGTTCGAACAGTTTTTTTTCTAACGTTAGTGCATTTTAGAATGTTCATATTTTTGCTAGAAACAAACTTCAATTATTTTTTCACAGTTGAGTTCTCAAGAGCTCCACAAAACGAAGGGTCCCGCAGCTTTGAGTAATTCTTTATAGGCGACATATAACAATTTTCGTAGAAGCCCTAACACCAGTTTTTAACTGGTGCATGCCTACCGTTATCGATACTTCGGTAACAACTTCAGACTTTTACCGCGCTAATTTCAGACTGGTAAAAATACTCAAACCGCGGTAAACTTCGGTAAAAATATCTTTTATTGTTACCTGTCATCCCTAGTTAGGATGTGAAATTTATCGAACTGGTACAATAAAGCGTCCAAATGTGCCATATAAACGTTTAACAACTGTGCCGATTATTGGAATAGGGAATATACGACATGCTAAACTCGAAGCTAGATAGGTTTGAGTCTCGCTGGATTTCTCTATTGAAAGCTTATGAGTTTTACTCTAATGATTAAACAATGTCACAAGATCTTGGAAAAAATACCAGGAAGTCAAAATCTTGAATTCTTGAATCTTTCATTCAAGATGTTGCAAGGTCTTAAGTGGAAAATTTTCTTTACATTTTGTTTTCATTTATGACAGTCATAGCCCTCAGATATACGACCATATAGAATCATAGACTCTTCCTTAAACACCTATGTTCAAGGAGAAAAAAACTTCACAGTTATTCTAAGTGTGAAAATATTCTTACTTATATTTACACAAGAGTGTAAAATAAAATGATGATTTAAGAATTTTCAAGATCTTGGATACAGGATTCAATCACTCAAGATTGTAATTAAGATTTTGGTATACGAAGTCAAGAAATTACAAGATGTTCTAGATCTTAACTTGACTTCTTATTTACTATAAAGAGGTGTTCATATAGAGAGGTTGCATTGTAATTTATTTTTTTATATAAACTCTTCTCTTCGATACTTTACTTCACTTCATAAACAAAAGAATATTGATGATTCCTTCTTCTTCACTACTTTATTTCTAAAGAAAGAGATATACTAACTAGATCTGACGTATCTTTGCAGATTTGAAGAAAGAAAAGGAAGAAAAAAAACAGTACTTTAGTGGACACAATGATGACCACAAATTATCCGCAGTTGAGGAGAAAACGATGTTCATACACGTGGATATCATTTTTTATCAATTATCCATGCTTGAATTGTTAAACATACTTGTATGTTCAATTTAAATCTCATGTTTTTAAGAAGTTTTTGATTGTTATTAAAGATGTTATTTTTCTCCTAATGACTGTTGTGCTACTATAATCAACTTTATTATTATTAATATACTTTTCCTACGAACTTTTTATTCATGTATTCATCCCAGCAGTAGTTATGCGGGCTATGCTATGGCATTATGGTACCAGAGAAGATGTGTAAAGCCGATGCCTTAGTAATGACCCTCCCTTTTTCGTGAATTTCCAGGTATCAGATATTTTATCTTATTTGTTGTTGTACAATCGATGTATGCGTAATTGGCTGATGTCAATAGCTGTAGATGAGACGCACACAAATGATGTCGCCCATCATGAAAAGTAGATTCTTTTCTGAATAAAAACACACGTAGAATTCTTTTGCCCATAAATGACTTTTTATATCCTTAAGTGAATGAATGGATGACTGTTTTTAAAGTTGGACTCCGCATAATGTAAGAAGTTGATAATGGCTGTTTATTAATTCACTGATTGCTGTCCTTGCACAGTAGCATTGAGCAGCTGACTCATCGAAGTAGCCAATCAGATAATCAATCGAGAATGAGCGAATAGTAAAATGGTTATTTAATTTGTTCCCTAGAAATAAGAAAATATGCTTGTCAAAAAAGACTTAAAGAAAGAGTTCGAAACAGTTAACCGGTTCGTTTTCTTATACCGGAAGCGAATGGGTTAAAGATGATTTTTTTGTTTATCCACTTCTAATAAAAGAAAGAGAATCAATTCCAATTCCACTTGGAAGAACAAAACATATGTATTTTGTAGCAGAAAAGGAGTTAATTCATCAGGGGACTTTCGGCAATCTTACAAATATGATCTACTATGAAATTCAGTTTTAAGAAGGGTAGCGAATCGCCAACTAAGTTAATATCAGGTGTATGAAAGGTAGATGTATCACAACTAATCAAGGATATCAGTATTTATGATACTCCCATAAGGTAATTAGAAGTCATCATTAAGAAACTGATTCTATCCTGTTTTCCATGTTAAGAAGAGTAATTTTCATTTTATTTTTCTACTCTTTCTCTAACACCCTTTCTATGAGACTAGTAGATGTTCGTATGAAACAATAAAATTTGTTTTCTCATTGTTTACTAATGTTCACTTCTACCGTCTATTGAAAAATGGTAGACAAATGAAACAATGATAATCTGATATTTAAAATCTAAAATTTTCTTTTCAGTTCTAAATGGGTCGTAAATTGTGTGTGAGTGTATGCTCACTCAATCAGTGGTCCTTAGATTTTCAAGGAAATTATGTTCGAATATTAGATAGTATACGTCAAGCAAAATTATTTCAATCACAATATCGTTCGGGACCAGAATTAGAAATATGTGGATATTCGTGTGATGATTATTTTTATGAATCTGATACATATTTACATTCTTGGCAAGTTTTAACACGACTTCTATTAGAGACGACAACAAATAATATTATTTGTGACATTGGTGAGTGAAATCTCAACTAGTTATAAATCACAATTTTGTCTTAAGGTTAACCTCTCCTCTCTCCCCTCTTCCCCTCTTTTTTCATCTTGTTGCCAAATACGAAGCACACGTCCGATCGCGTTCAGATTTATATCTGAGATAGAAGAGCGAAAAAGAAAATCGTTGTATCTTTGTTCAGAATTTTGTGACATGATCTTCTATGGGTGTTCTGGAAAACTCTAGTTTTCATCCAGTCACATTATGATTGCTCGAAAAAATGGTCCGATTGAGTGAAAATTTTTACCGCAGATACTCCAGACCGTATCTCAAAATGAAAAATATGCTTTTCTTCTCGAGATATATGAAAAATGCTGTAAACCACACAAAATTCTGAGCAAAGATACATCGATTTTCTTTTTCGCTCTTCTATCTCAGGTATAAATTTAACTCGATTGGACGTGTGACAACAAAGTGAAAAAAGAGAGAGAGGTACCCTTAATGTTTTCGGTGTACTGAAGAGTACATACAACGATTATTAGGATTTTTATTTTACTCATTCGCAGAGATTACGTCTATTATCGATCTCGAACTTTCATTGGAGTTCTGTTGAAGAGTTATGTTAAACAAAGATAGTAAATTATTTTTTCTCCTATAGGCATGCCTGTGATTCATCGAAATCTTGCTTACAATTGTCGTGTGATAATTTTGAATGGTAAAATATTATTTATTCGGCCAAAACAAGTGTTATGTGATGAAGGAAACTACAAAGAAAGAAGATGGTTCAGGTATAACATATTCTCTCCAGAGATGATAGCTTGTTTTGTGTACACGAAACTCATCGTTAATGAGAAAATCAATCAATTTGTTTTTTTTGTTGTAGTCCGTGGACAAAAGATCGTCAAATTGAAGAATATCAATTACCACGTTTTGTTCAAGAACATATTAAACAACAAACGTGTCCCATAGGCGATGCTATTTTACAAACAAATGATACACAAATTGGTTTTGAATCTGCCGATGAATTATTATCACCAAAGAGGTATATTGATTACTTCTATCTCATTTTATCTTTTCAATAGCTGAATGGTGTTCGTTTTGGCTACTAAATCGAGCATTAGTCTTGAATAGGTTACCAATCGTTCCTCTGTCAATTATGCTTCTCTTTTTGTTCTTGCTTAATATAATTTTAAAATCGAAATAAAATTCTTTTATACATCTATAAGTTCATATAATTCTCCTTTTTTTCTAGTTGTCATGTTAATTTATATCTGGACGGTTGTGAGTTGATATCCAACTCATCTTCAAAACATTTTCGTTTAAGAAAAACATTGATTGACGATATTAATAAAGCAACGGAAAAGGTTGGAGTTCATTTCTTTTTAACCTATTGCTTCTAATAACTGTATTTTATTTTTATTTAGTGTGGTGGTGTTTACTTGTTATCAAATATGAGAGGTTGTGACGGTGATCGATTATATTTTGATGGTATAACAGTGATATCGTCGAATGGACAATTAATACAACATGGATCGCAATTTTCATTACAAGAATGTGTACGTAGAGAATCTTTGGTCCTTGATGAGAGTCGAACAGTTTATAGAACTTTGATAAAGGATATTTTGTACGTACAAATTTGTCCGAGATTGGTCTGATTTGTGAATATCTGCAATTACATAATATCTAGATATTTAGATATTCAAATGTTAAGATCTTCGGATATATTCCTGTCTTCCACGGTGAGAAATATCAGGAAGGGGCTCACTCTTCTCGTCTGCTTTCCCATTTCCAGAAGAATGCATATTCTCAATTTATACTGGAAAAAACCAAACTTGTGTGCTTTTCTAAAATATACACATTTTGAATATAAGCTAGAAAAGCAAGCTTTTCTGCTTTTCTTTTGCCATGATTGTATGTCGATTTGTTTTCTTCACTTTTGGAGACCGGTCTGAATATCTAAAAATCTTTTTCAAAAATCATAATTGTGAAAATCAGATTCTAGTGTTCTGTCCAATTTTATATGAACTATAAGTCGGCAAGATTTTATAGAACTTTGTTTTTGATCCTAGGACAAAAGAATAACAGTCTTTAGTCGCTCCATGAAACAGTAGTTTTCAGTGCAATGACAATGGAATGAAATCCTATTTTAACTTAGACAAGCATGAAGTGACATTTCTGCTTTTTTCAGTGATATAAGCACCAAATTTGTACAACTTTTTGATTGTACAAAAGAAGTTCACGATAGACTGTGATAGTAGTATTCATCTAACACTATAAATATTTATTTCTTATCTCATAAAAATATTCAAACAAAAAAAATTTAGACAACATTCTACTTTACATATAAATCACGATTATGTTCCACCATTGTAAGAAGAAAAGTAAATGACAATTGAGCAAATCATTTTCTCATTCTTATTCGCAAAAAAATGCGTTTTTTTAGAAAAATTATGGCTGTATGAGAATATTTTTGTTCACTTGCTTGCTCTATCAAATTCTATTTATACTCACTTTCAATGCATTTTTAATATTTATTTTTGATTTTACCATCCTTAGAACAATATATTCTTGGTAACTTTAACCATGTTTTTTCTCTTCATGTTCAACAGAATGTATGAGTTTAATTCTGTCACATTAAATTCAAATCTTCATTTCTTTAACTTTGTTTATACTGGACATGTACCGGTTATAACCAATAGAAATTGTGCACTTTTTACAATCGATGAAATTTGTGCAAATAGTTTTTTTTCAACAAAAATTTTTCTATCAACTGGATTTTGTAGAACAAATAAGTTTGTTTCTACAAAATGAACTATGGGAGTATTCTTTGTCTTGATCTAGTACTTATAAAAAAACAAAAATGTCTTAAAAGTCCCATGATCGGTTATAACCGATTTAGGTCCCGTCATTGAAAAGCGAGTACGTCAGAAACAAAATATGAAGGCTTTCACCATAGCTCATATTGTACAAAAATGTTTACTCTACAAAATCCAGTTATTAGAAAAAGTTGAATATACGTACTTATCATGTAATCCGTCTCTGGGAAAAAGGTGAAATTTATCGGTTATAATCCACAAATGTTTGTCTATCGCTTATTGCATAGCATAGCATAGTTCTTTTGTTATATCTCTCTTAAATTGTTTAATGGAGATATTTAATGACGTTTTCTTGAAGAAATAAAATATGCTAAAAGTCGTCTGCAAACTAAGTGTAAATCTTCTAAAATATTTCTGATTTTATTATCTATTTTAGGAAGTTCGTAGTGCCATAATTGATTTAGAAGATATTCGTTCATATCGTCTATCAAAACGTTCCTATCAATCACAGGTATGATATTTATTACATTTTATTTTTAAAATTATCTAACAGAAATTTTTATTTTTTATATTTTATTAGGGAACTAATTCTGATGCTTATCCTCGTATACGTGTTGAGTTTAGTTTATCTGCTCAACATGATGTATTTATACCTGTTAGTCCACCAATGGAATGGAAATCAGTTACAAAAGAAGAAGAAATTGCGTATGTTTATAATCCATCTAGAAGTTTCTTTTTAATACTTTTATTCACTTGTCAACGTTTATCTATCTAAAAGAGAAAAACGATGACAATATCAAAATGTCTTTTTTAACTTTTCATATTTTTTATTTCAATATAGGATCACTTTCTTGTCAATATTTTCTTGCAAGAGTCTTATTCTCTGATATTTCAGAAAACATTCTATTTTACATCGATTTTTTTTTATGTCAAAAATCTTACATGAAACGATTTATGTATGAATTAGGCTAAAAATTGTGAGACTATATTTTTTACTCGAAATTTACAAGAAAGTGATTTCTTATCGAATGAAAGTTTATAGATGAAACAAACATATACAACCAATTTTTTGTTTGGTTTTTTTATTACAAGTAAGAGAGACGAGTTCTTCTGATACAGATACATCGAACGAGTGAATTATCTTTTTGATAAAAATCATTATGCAATCATGGACAGTTTGCATTCAAAAAATACTTTTCGTGTATTTCATACACTTTTTGTTTTACATTGGGTATTTTTTTCTGTTCTAGTTTGGGTCCAGCCTGTTGGTTATGGGATTATTTACGTAGAAGTCAAGCAAATGGCTTTTTTCTAGCATTATCTGGTGGTGTCGATAGTACATCTGTAGCATGCATTGTATTTTCAATGTGTTATCTTGTTTTCATGGAAATAGAACGTCAAGGAACAAATCAATGTTAGTGTCTAATTTATCTTTATTCCTTATTTCTTACACAATTATTTTTATTTTAAAGCTAATGATGTACTACGTGATCTAAGACGTATTGTCAATGATATAAATTATCGTCCACGTTCACCACAAGAATTATGTTCAAAATTATTGGTTACTTGTTTTATGCAACATTCAAATAATAATTCCGAATTATCAAAAACACATGCAACAAATTTATCTAGTGAAATTGGAAGGTAAATTGAAGTTATTGATACTACAGATTTCAACAATGATCATTTTATATGTTTCACTAACGAGGGAACCCCACGAAGTGATTAAACGCTTTTTGCTCGGAATCTAGTGGGTTATAGGTTATCGACCATGCTGATTACGAATACGACCATGCGGCTTCCGCATAGCCCTTCGAAGACCTGGTTT